GAGTCGTGAAACAATCACGAAGAGAGGCTTTTCGCTTTTTTCGGCCTTTGGGGGCCCTTGCCAGGCCTTGGAACGAACGAAGAAGCCGTGCCATGACGGCACATCGGCTGCAGTGCATATGGTGTGTGAAACAGAAAAGCAGCATCATAGCGACTCGCCTGCTTAGCTTACGCGGGAGGGGGGGGGAGAAGAGAGGGGGGAGGACCGGAGCGGGGCAACAGTATGCAGGCAAGCCCCTATGAAAGAGAACGGCAATGCTGCCGCACAGTGGCCCTCCAGTTCTGGAAAGAGCCGTTACCATTCGACAGCGTTGCTGCTAGCCGGTCCTCGTCCTGCTGCGCGGCGCTCAGTGCATGCGCCCTGATTCTCTGGCCCCACGACACCCTTGGGCGCCCTCGTTTTCGAGCGCCCCCTGGGCGTGCCAACATCGTGGATGAAGGTTGAAATACGGAGCGTCGTGCGATAGATGCGTCGGGCATCATGGCCACCCGCCCAAACAAACACATCTGTTTGGCGACTAGCTGGTCTGCCAGCGGGCTCGACGACGCTGTCTTCAGAACTTCCTGGTTGGACACCCGGGATATCATCGGATGCGGGATGCCCCATATCTTCCGCAGGCATCGCACATGGAACGAATTGATGCGAGAAAACTCTGACTTATTCAATCGCTCCGTCTCCAAACTGTAGAGCAATTTGGCGACGACACACGCTTCGTACATGCGTTGCTTCCTTGCCCGACTCAACGATGAATGGCTCCATACCTTCGTCAGAAGCGAAAAGGAGTTGCGCGCCTCGCCCACCCTGCGTGCCACGGCGCACCTGGCACTGCCGCTGGTGGTGAGCAGACCGCCCAGATAGATGTGCTGCTCTGCCTTTGGGATGGGCTGGCCGTTCGGATCGTAAATGGGTGGCGGATCTCCAACTTGCAGCACCACGGTCTTGTCCCGATTAGGCAATAATCCATACGGGGCGGCCCGCGAGAGCAGGCTGTCGAGGGCGTGCTGCAGACAAGCGGACGACTTGCAAATCAATGCTGTATCGTCCGCGTACTCGACGTCATCTGTCCGGCTGCCCGCGTGCTCCCAATTCACGTCCTCCATGATGACAGGCAAAACGATGATAAACAGGTATGGCGAGAGCGGACAGCCCTGGGCAATGCCAGCGGACTGCTCTCTGGCACCAGATTCCTTACCAGAGTCGCGCACGGTGAAGGTTCTGTGCTGGTAGATGGATGCGACCATGTCCACGTATTCCTCAGCTAAGCCAAACCTGCGCAGCGCCACTTGCATGGCGCCGGGGTCGATGCGATCGAAAGCCTTGGACCAATCTAGGAGCAACACTGTCAGTTCTCCATGCTTGAGATCCTGGGCGGCGTCCAGCATCCGCTGCACGGTGAGAATGGCCAAGTCGGTGCCGCGACCACGTCGGAAGCCGAACTGGTTGTCCCGGAGCCGGCCCTCCACCCCTCCAGATCGCAGTCGCTGCAGGATGAGGCTCGCAAGCACCTTGTATCCAACTGCCAGTAGAGATATTGGACGGTAGTTTGAAGGCAGCCCAGGGTCACCTTTCTTGAAAAGCGTGGTGACTGAGAAGTGCGACCAGTCCTGTGGAATTGACTTCGAATGCCAGCACTGGTTGCACAAACGCAGCAAAATGTCGAGGGCTTCCGCGCTCCTGCCAAGCACAGCCCAGAAATCGGGCGGCACGTTGTCAGGCCCACTTGCTCTGCCTCTCCGCAACCTCGACAAGACTGATTTGAGCTCCGCTGTCAAGAACTCTCCGCAGGGTATGTCAAGAGTTGCCCCAAGTTTCGGCTCCTCTGGCACGCCGACACCTGCGCCTGGACTACGTTGCCATTGCACGTTCTGCAAATATGTCGCCAAAGTGTCTGCCCTCTCGCTGGAATCCACCATGTCGCCGGCCGAATTGCGAAGTCTGCCTTGTTGTTGGCGGGCAGACCCCTTCCGAAGGCGCTTGATTGCAGGCCAACCTCCGTCCGCCAAGTCTGCTTCCAACCATGCTGCCCGGTCATTCTTGGCCGCTGATTTGATCTGCTTGTTCAGCGAGGCCTCCAGTGCGAACTGCCCCAGAACCCGTGCGTTGTTCCGCAGCTCGATGAGGTCCAGCGTGGCCGTTCGAATCCAAGGCCGCTTTGCCGTGACTGGGCGAACATGCAAGGCGGCATCTGCAGCAGCCTCCATGTTGGACCGCACTTCCTCCGCCAGTGCATCGACGCAACCATCTCCAGCGCCGCGCAAGATGTCCTGTCCCAACTCGACAAAACAGTCGCAGAATTTCTTCGCCACTGCAGCCTCCCCGAGACTCCGGGTGTCCCGCGTATCCCGGGATTCCCTGGGAAGCTTCTTCGGGATGTGCACGCCTAGGTCTGCGATGACAGCGAAATGATGCGATTGCAGGGCAATGTCCCGCCTGCTCCGGACTGCGCGAATAACTCTAAGCCACTTTTCATGCACAAGTAAATGATCAATCTCAGCGAACTTGTTTGCCGTGATTTCGTCCATAGGTCGTGCAGAGATGTCGTAGTACGTGACTTGTTGGTGCACGTGGCGCTCGTGGAAGGTGTTCGCCACGACCATATTCATAGACCTGCAGGTTTCCACCAGGAGGTCCCGATTGCTCGCAGCATCTATATTGGCTTCGCGATTGCCGTAGACGTAAGGCCCTAGAACGTCGTGCTCCGCAGCGCCTCGTTTGTGAATCCTGCTGTTGAGATCACCACACACGACAAGAGGTCCGTGAACTTTGGTTTTCTGCACAACGTCTTCCAAATCATTGAAGAAATTCTGTCGCTCCTCAGCTGGGCGCCCGTTGTGAGGGGCATAGCTTGTAATGAAACATATTTGTCCTCCTTCAACTCGGACCCGCAAGCTCGCTAACCTGGGACTGTGTTGCGTGAAGCCCAATACAGCACAACGGACGCGAGGAGACACCAAGAAACCTACTCCGGCATGCTCTCTCTCGTTCAGTCTCCCGCCAGATAGAATGACAAAGAAATCGGTGTGCAGAAAATATGCTGAACCAGCCAAGTGCGTTTCTTGGAGTCCCAGCACATCTATGTTCTCTGCCTTCATAACCAACTCAATCTGTTCCAACTTTGTTTCGTCCATCTGCTTCTCGTCTGAAAGGCCCTCCACGTTCCATGAGGCAAGCCGTCCCATGCAGATCGGTCTTGGGGTCGTTCTGCTCCGGAATTGCCTTGGGCAGTTCCGTCGTTCTTGAAAACGGTCAGGGAAAGTATTCGGTGGCAAGGGTAAGGTTGGTGAAACCTCCAGGGCGGTCGCATGAATATCTGCTTCACCATTTTGGGAAACAAGTGATGCGCAAAACTCCCCAGAGTGTGAAACGCCGATGCGCCGTCCGAGTTCATAGTGATGGGGAGGTTTTGACTTACCTTTCCCAGCGCCTTTCCCATCGCCTTTCTTCCCAGCGCTTCGTAGGAGCTTGTCCTGGCCGGCCTTGAGGATCTTTTCCCAATCCTCGCTCTTCAGGTAGCCCTCCCACCCGGCCTCGTACTCAACCTTGAGGGCCCCCTCCTCCACGACAGCCGCCAGGACCTTCTCGTCCCCCATGTGCAGGGTGAAGGCCTCCTCGTCCACCCACATGGAAGACTTCACGAACCCCCACTGTGAAAGCATCCACTTCGCTCCGAAAAGAACCTGGCGTGCAACGCGCGTGCCTAGGGGCTGCTCTTCTTTGGCCGAAACACGTTTCCCGTCAGCTGTCTCATGTTTCAGGCTCCTGATCGTCGCAACCGCTGTGTCGCGATCTTCTTGTTTAGGGAATTTTGCGAACAACAGCCCCTTGAACTCCCCTTTCACGAAGTAGTCAGAAGCTGGCGTAACATATCCCTCCCACAATCGATCTTTTATCCACTTGGATGCTGACCACTCGTCCCCCATACTTTCCAAACCTCGAAAAACTGCAATCAACTTGGTGTCCTCGGTCCCATTCTTCATGAGGGCGCGCATCTGGGCCTCCAGCTGCACAATCTGGTTCTGCAAGTCCTGCTGGAGTTTGCTGTCCTGCGGGTTCCCGCCCTTCCTCTCCCCTGGGCCCACGGACGCCTTGAAGGTCTGAAGATCGTCATTCACAGCCTGAATCTTGTTCATGAGGTCCTTGTTCTTCTCCTCCATCCCCTCCCACATATTCTCCATGTTCGACTCCACTCTTGCCACGTCGTCCTGGAGCTCCCGGACGGTGTCCAAGATTGGCCGGAGACGTTCATCAAACTTCTTGTCCAAGAGCTCCGCGATAGCACTGAGGGTGACAGGCTGTTGAGCTGCATCCAGAGGTGTAGAAGGAATGGTAGCCGCTGGTCTCGTCTCCTCTTCGCCCTCGTCCCCGCCCATGGTGTGCAGCGGGCTGAACAGCCGCTGTCGAACGTCGCGTTCGCCTCGTAGGGTCGTGCCTGGCTGCCGCGTGTGAGGCCGGCTCCCGGCGCCGGCGCCGTCTGCCACTGCGCGCGGCTGGGGGCGAGGGAGAGAGAGCGATGACGGGATCGCGGCGGGAGAGACGGAGCGGCGGGATCCAGGCCTTGGGGTCGTCAGAAAGCGATTCAGAATGAGGGACAGGTCCCAGGGGGATGGTCATGACGGGGAGGGTATTGGCCGGGCACGCATTCGGGACCCTGTGCTTGGCCGCGTCCTGCCGCAGCCAGCGGGGGAGGGCTCCCCTCGCTGGGCCTGGCTTCTCGGCAGGCGGCCAGGTCAGGATGCCGGGCTTTACGGTCAAAATTCTGCCTTGGGGTCCATTTTAGTGTCGGATGGGGCTCGGTGCTCGTTGGGCTCTCCCGCGGGTTCTTGGCTTGTGCACCTGAGGCATCCGGGCACAACCAGGGTCCCAGATAATCTTCGTTCCTTGCCCAGGGATCCTGACTCTGGGTGTAGATTTCGCCTCCCCCCTGGATCCGGCCCTGGGATGTGCGCCGCCTGCTGGCCATGGTGCCTCATTCGGCGGGTGCCCCTCCCCCGCGATCCGAGGAGCAATGCAACAAGGGGTGCCTGGACAATGGTGGTCAGGAGTGCACGCGAGGGGTCGGGAAAGGTTTGAGGAGGTGGATCGACGATCAACGATCGATGATTGGTGATGAAGATGATGATCATGATAATGATGATGATTATGACGATGATGACGTTGGTGGTGGTGGTGGTGATGGTGATGGTGATGCTGATGTTGCTGATGAAAAAGCTGCTGATGATACTGATGATGATGGTGGTGGTCGGTGATGATGCGTATGATGGTGATGATGCTGCTGCTGATGATGATGATGCTGATAGTGGTGATGGTGATGATTGTGCTGCTGATGATGATGCTGCTGATGATGATGGTGATGGTGATGTTCTTGATGATGGTGATGGTGATGCTTATGCTTATGGTGATGATGGTGCTGATGGTGATACTGGTGCTGCTACTTCTGATGACGATGATGATATCATGATGATAATGACGCTGATAATGACAATGATGATGACGATGCTGATGTTGATGCTGATGCTAATTCTGATGCTGATGCTGCTGATGGTGATGGTGATGGTGACGATGACGATGCCGACCGCGACGATGATGATGATAATGATGATGCAGGTGATGATGATGCTGATGATGATGATGACGATGGTTGTTATGGTTTTTGGTTGTGGTGGTGATGATGATGCTTTGGATGTTTTACCTGATGATGATGCTGGTGATGATGACGAGGATGACGATGATGCTGCTGGTGGTTGTGGTGGTGATGATGATGATCACGATGCTGGTAGCGATGCTTGTGATGGTTGTATTGGTGGATGTGGGTCTGATGATGATGATGATGACGATGATGAAGATGATGAGGATGATGCCGACGACGAGGAGGATGATGACGACAGGTGGTGGTGGTGGTAGTGATGACGCTGCTGCCGATGATGATGATGATGGTGATGATGATGATGCTGATGATGATGATGGTTATGGTGATGATGCTGCTGACGATGCTGATGATTAGGATGATCTCGCCGCCGCCGCCGATGATGATATGATGATGCAGGTGATGATGATACTGCTGATGATGACAATGATGGTGATGCTGATGCTGATGATGCTGATGATGGTTATGTCGATGACGATGACGACGGCGGCGAGGACGATGAAGAGGATGATGATGATTCTGATGATGGTGGTGTCGCTGCCAGTGATGATGATGGTGATGCTGCTGATGATGATGATGATTGTGGCGATGATGATGATGATGCTGATGATGATGGTGATGGTGATGGTGATGATGAGGATGATGATGATGATGATGATGATGATGATGATGATCATGATGATGATGATGATGTTCGGCTGGTGACGGTCGCGATGGTGGTGTTGGCGACGAGTACTACAGTGATGACGACAGCTATGGTGATGATGAGAGTGATGAAGACTATCATGTTGGTGATTGCCCCTGTAACGAGGCAGATGGTGATGATGATGAGGACGATGAGGGTACATTTGCTAGGTGGAGCTCAAGGTGATAGCGGCGCCCCAGGGTCGCCCAGAGGTCAGGATGTTCTGCCGGCAGGCTGGCGGGTCCTGCCTTTTTCTCTTCGTGGTCCAGCGTACATGCCGTTCACGCGTTTCGGCCCCGAGCAGGTTGGGAGGCACGTCAGGCCAGGCCCGACGCCGGTGTGCGCCTCGAACAGTTCGTCAGGCGACAGCCCTCACCCAGCCCGCACTATGGGGGAGTACTTAGTCTCCTATTTGAGCCCTTCGTTTCCTGGTTGCTCCTGGCCGCTTCGCTCCTCCTTTCTGAGTCACCTGCGCTCCCCGTCTGCAGCAGCCCACTCCCAGATATGCAGATGGGTGGCGATTCGCTTCCATCGTGCTTCGTGCCAGTGCCAGGTGATGCCGCTTTGATCTGGTCGTTGGTGCTCGTACCGCTACAGGAAGGGTTCTGATCATCAGGCCAATGTGGCCCTCACACTGCCAGCGAGTGCTCGCCTGAAGTGAACAGGCCAGAACTGAACATAAATGTTCTCACTGACTTGTTAGAGGGCGATTGGGGCTGGAGGGTGAGATGCAGAACCAGTGGTGTTTGCTGGGTTCATCACGGCCATTACACTCCTCCACAATTACACAATCTGACTAGTTACTACCCTCCTCTCTCCCCTGGTGACGTCCGGGAAATGTTCGGCCCCCCTCCGCGTGCTGGCTTCTTACACAGGATTCCCGGAAAACGGGTTTTCGCTGGGCTTTTCTCAGAAAGCTGCTCTCGCTTAAGCGCTGGCCCCTTTTTCGGGCTACCGCTCGTTCCGAATCGTGCTCCCGTTGCAGCGCTGGCCTCATTTCCGCGCTTCCGCTCGTTTCGAATCTTGCTCCCGCTGCAGCGTTGGCGTCATAGTTTCCAGCGCCATGCCACAGCATGGTTTTCGGTTCTTCCAAATCGGCCCCAAAATCTAGAACATGCCCCCACTAAAAAAACATCGGATGTGATCACACATTCGATGCCGATTCTTTTATGGGCCGTCGCCGCACCATGCTATGTCAGGCTACGCGTTCTCTGAATCGTGCTCCCGCTGCAGCGCTAGCCTCATTTCCGCGCTTTCGCTCGTTCCGAATCCTGCTCTCGCTGCAGCGCTGGCGTCATTAGTTCCAGCGCCATGCCACGGCATGGTTTCCGGTCCTCCGAAATAGGCCCCAACATCTAGAAACTGCCCTTCCCCGAAAAAAAAACATCGGATGTGATTACACATTCGGTTCCGATATGTTGGTTTCTTGGGCCGCAGAAGCCCCGCCCCCATTGTGGGCCGTCGCCACGCCATGCTATGTCATGCTACGCCTTGATCTTCAACACCATGCACTGCCATGTAATGCGATGCCATGCTGCGACATCTGACTGTGCGAATAGAAAGGGGATCTACGCCATGGTAAGGGATGGGAGGGAGGGGTAGGACGTCAGATCTGACGCGAGCGCACCTAGCTTGTCCTCCTCCTCCTCCTCCCCCTCCATTCTTCGCCATGTGTATCAAATAGACAAACGCATATACACACGTCATCATCGTTATCGTCGTCGCGCAGCCAACCGTGTCGTAGGGCGGGCGGGGAGGGCGTACGTGGCGTTCCCCGCCAGTCAGGGTCTCCACACTTGGACACTTCCAAAAGATATCGCGCGCCGATGTTGTAATGTGGCTCTCGCCTTGAGGCGCCGCGCCTTCGCGTAAAGTTTCCGACAGCTGCGCCGATGGAGGGCGTCCCGCTCTCAGAGTGTGGTCCTCGCCGTGCCACTTCCTGCCCCCTCCTCCTGTCCGCTCCTTCTCCCTGTCATCGTTCGTCCTCTCCCGTTTCTCACAGCTTGCCCCCTGGGCTCGGAGGGAGGAGATGCGATACCAACACCACCAGGGGGCCCACCGCCAGCGAGGAGGTCCTCGAGGCCTCTCCGAGCTGGAGGCTGGGGATGTCTCGAGCGAGAGGGGGGGACCACACCACCAGGGAGTTTCCCCTTGCCTCCTCGCATCTCCTCGCCCTGTTGGTGTTGGTGTCGCCTTTCCTTGTTCCTACTGGGCGCCGTGCGATCAGGGCTCGCTTCCGCCGCCGCCCGCGCTGCTGCCATCGCTGATGCCGCCGCTGCTCATGCGGGTGCCGTCGCGTTCCCCAAGTTCTGCTGCCGCCGCTGCCGCTCCTCTGCGGGCCGCCGCTGCCGCTGCTCTCTCGCTCTCTCGCTCTCTCGCCCGCGCCATTCCCTGCGAGGAGGACATTGCCAGCGGCGCCGACCAGCTCACCCGCTACGCCCGGTCCATGTCCAAGTACCGAGAGAATTGGTGAGTCGCTGCGGGCTCGGATTTCGCTCGTCTTGGCGCGTGCTCCACTCCCGTCGCTCGCCGTCCCCCCGTGGCTGCCGAAGCTGTGGTTCCTCCTGCTGCTGCCGCTTCTCGGAGTATTCCTTGGGCTGTCCAGGCCCTGATGTTCCTTTGCCTGTGCCACTGCTGCTGCTGATGCTGATTCGATCCACCTCATCCCCCATTCCAACTCAATCTCCTGATGTTGCCTCTGGTCCTCCTTCTCGTGATATACCCTATGGTGTATGCATGTCTGCCTGCCTGCCTGTCTGTCTGTCCGTCCGTCCGTCTGCATGCATGTATGTGGATGTTTGTCTGTCTGTCTGTCTGCCTGTCTGCCTGTCAGTCTGGGTGTCTGTATGCATGCTTGTATGTTGTATGTGCGCATGTGCGTATGTGTAAACGTATGTGTGTACATATGTGTGTGCATGTTGTATGTCTACATGCATGTATGCAGGTGTGTATGTATGTATGTATGGATGCGTGTATGTGTGTGAATAGGTGTGTTTGTAGATTTGTGTGTGCGTAGGCAGGTATGTATGTATGTATGTATGTATGTATGTATGTATGCGTGCGTGCGTGCGTGCGTGCGTGCGTGCGTGCGTGCGTGCATGCATGTATGTATGTATGTAGGTATGTGTATGTATGTATGTATGCATGCATGCATGCATTTGTGTTTGTTTGTATGTATGTATGTGTGAATACATGTATGTATGTATGTATGTGTGTATGTATGTGTGAATACATGTATGTATGTATGCATGCATGCATGCATGTATGTATGTATGTATGTATGTATGTGTGTGTATGTATGTATGTATGTATGTATGTATGTATGTATGTATGTATGTATGCATGCATGCATGCATGCATGTATGCATGTATGTTTGTGTGAGTTCATGGTTGTATGCGTGACTGGGTGTATTAATGTATGGAAGCATGTATTAGTGTGTGAATGTATGTGTGTATGGTTGTATGTGTGTGCGTATGCATGAATGGGTGTATGTATGTAGGTGTGCATGCATGTATGTATGAATGCATGTATGCATGTTTGTATGTATGCATGTATGTATGTACGTGTGTGTGTGGTTATGTGTGTATGTATGTGTGTATGAGTGTACGTGTGTATGCATGTGTGTATGTATGCATGCATGCATGCATGTATGTATGTTGGTGTGTCTATGCCCTTCTATCGCACACGCGCGATTTCTCTCTCTGCCTGCCTCCCTGAGGCCACGAGTGCCGCTGGCACCAACAATGGAAGCACGGCAAGAGGAGAGGAGGGCGAACGGCAAGTAGGGTGTTGGAGGCTGAACGGCAAGTGGACACCACATAACGCTGGACGGTCGGTAATTGGACATTCCGTCCGTGTCGGCGGGGCCAGGCTTTTTCCCGATGCTTGATTTGCTTGTTGCTTCGAGCCGACAAAGGCAACCATCAACAAGGGTGGACGGCATACGAGCTCCGCCTCTGTGGAGTGTCGGTGCTGGCTCCTTAACCCCTGTATATACTAGTGGCCTACGGCCCATCCCGCCACCGTGCCTGGGTTGTGGGCCAGAGGCCTGGTCGCAGTTTCTTGTACGTGCCCTGAGTGTTTTGCGGGGCCACTCCTGATGTGTCTCGTGGTGGTAGTTTGTGCGATCGTGGATTGTGTCGTGGTGTGCTTCTCTTGGTCTTTCGTCTTATGTCGCGGCAGAAGGACGAGGGCATAATTGATAAAACAGACGGAGGGGTGAAGGGGCTGGGCTGTGGTTAAAAGGCCTCTATCACGCTGCGGTTTCTTGGCATGCCTCCCGAGATGTTCTTGGCGTGCGTCTTTCTATTATGCAGGCTGCACGAATTAAATAGCATCCGCGTTGAAATATTCGGGTCTCTTGGATGGAAGTGTGCGTCGACCTGCTGTGCCTAGGTCATTAGCCAGAGTGTCCTCGTCAGACCCTCTCGGGCCGCCTCAGACTTTCTTGGGATGTTTTGGTGCTGTCTTGGGCCGTCTCGGGGTAGCCTTGGGCGCTTCATGGGCGATCAGGAGGCCATGTTGGGCCGTCTTGGGGCCCTCTTGGAGGCCTCTCGGGTGAATCAAGCATGATCAGCAAGTGCGCATGCTCTGGGTCAAATTAGCAGAGCGGCGCTCTGCTAATGAGAGGAGGAGCAGTGAACGCGCACCTGCTCTGAGGCCAATTCGCAGAGCGGCGCTCTGCTAATGAGAGCCCGGGCAGGGTGGGGAATCCTGCTTTGAGGCAGATTAGCGCAGCAGCGCTCTACTAGTGAGGGGAGGGGCAGCGCGCGCACATGCTTTGCGGCATAGTAGCAAAGCGCCGTTCTGGTAATTGGAGTCCGAACTGTCTGATAACGCATGGTCGGGGCTCCTTATTTTGAATTCAGGATCCCGGGCAGAGAACACAGGAGGACCTGGAGATAACTCTACTTCGTGACTCGAGGCACACGGTGGCAGATAATCATGTTCCCCAATCGGTGCTTGCACTTGGGGGATCTTTCTTGTGCAATAAGGAACTGTCCCGTGTCTTCGGTCTGGCGGCTATTTTGCCACCGTCGCCGCCCCATCTCCGCCTCTTCGCCGCTGGTCGTCTGGCCCTGAATGTCGGTCTGGCGGCTCCGTTGCCGTCGGCCCGTCGCTGCCTAGTCGCAGCCAGTCGTCTGGACTTGAATGTCGGTCTGGCGGCTCCGTTGCCGCCGTCGTCGCCCGGTCGCCGCCTCACACACACACACACAGCACCGCATAAACAGACCCGCATATCTTGCAGCACCCAGACTGCACAACACATATTACACCGCGTATGTTGCACCACGTGGATTGCGCAACACAGACCCCCCCCCCGGGATTATCGGTTCCTTCTTGTCGTATTTCAATTTACATATGGTTCCGCCCCGCTGTCCATGCTAAATATGGATTCGTACCATCCCGAGGGAGCCGGTATCGCCCCCCCTCGCCATCCTCTGCAAAACATATTTTGCGCGCGCATTCGTCGATCAACACTCATGAGTTTCCAACAACCCTTTGCAACAAATGAGACGAAGTGCACACGCGCGCGTCGCGCGCGCCTGCCAGAATCCTTTTCGAAATTTTCGGTTTCGTAGGGAGTTCAAAATCGAGAGTCCAAAAGACATATATCAACGCAGTGTTTCGCAACACGGATGTTCAAAAAACACGTGCGCGCGAGTGTTGACGAATTCTTTGGAAAATCACAAGTTTTTCAACATTTCCAGAGAGTGCTACCAAACTGGCTTCGTGCGCGCGCATGTCGAATCTTTCCAACGCCCTTGCGCGCGTGCCGTCGCGATAATCCTTCGAAACAAATGTGACGAAGTGCGCGCGCGCGTCGTCGCGCGCGCATGCCGAAACTTGTGGTTTCGTAGCGGCTTCAAAACCGAATGTCAACAAAGCGTACAAAACCATGTGGTTTCGCAACGTCATGTTCCAAACAAGCGTACGATCGCGCTCTTGCGCATTCCAAAACAATGAATTCTGCCAATGCCAAACGGCCTCTTGCACCGCATGCCGACATCACTCGCACGCCCTTTGCGCACGTGTCGGGGGGCACGATCCGTGTCAAATAGAACCATGCGGGCCACTCGCGCGTAGGCCGCGCGCGCATGCCGAACTCTTTCCAAAACCTTGATCACCGACGCGAGGACGCCGTCATCGTCGCCGGCGTGATCAGCATCGGCGCCCGCACTGGCCGCGCTGACGTCGGTGTCAACATCGTCACCAGCATCGCTACTATCATCATCGTGTCTACCGTTGTCGACGTTGCCATGATACCGCGCCCACCCAAGTCGCCGACTAGCATTAAAAGTGCCCGCTGGGATGTGCCCAGCGGTCAGAGCCACCGCGGCCGCGTCGGTGGCGCCAAACTAGCTCGCCGCTGCGCGCGCGCTAGGGTTGGTGCGGCCGCAGAGATGCACCAGCCAACGCCAAGCATGCATCGCAATCACAACCGCGTGGCTTTTGCAAACCAAGTTGCGGGTGGGTGGGTGGGATGTTTGCAAGAGCATGGGGGTGTTAACTTGCCTGTTAAAATCAAGTGCGCAACGTAGATCGCACCATGTAGGGCGCACCGCATATATTCTTGGCGCTTCGCTTATCCCCACCAGCCCATCCAGAAACGATTACCAGGTGAGTTGGTTAGTCAGGGACGCCTGGGAGCACGCGGTCGCGCAGCTGTTTTGGAAGCGTCAAAACAGGGTGGGCAGCACCCTGGGCCAGGAAATAAGGACCTTCCGCGCAGTGAAGCTTAAGACAACAGAAATCAGTGCAAGATGCGCCATGGTGCTCCCTTTGGTAAGCGTCTCTGGCGCAGGTTCCTGTATCTACGATCTGACACCAGCGGCGCGCAGATTAGAGTCGCATCTCGATGGACATCCTTGATCTTAAACCTTGCAGCGATTGGTATCTTAAACTCGCGTGCGTTTCGAAATTGCTCAGGTGCTGGTGCTGCTGCCGGTGCTGCTGATGATGCTGTTGCTTGCGCTGCTGTTGTTGATGCTGGTGCTGATGTTGTTGTTGCTGTTGCTTGTGCTGCTGCTGGTGCTGCTGCTTGTGGTGCTCCTGCTGCTGGTGGTGCTGCTGCTGGGGACATCTTGGGGGTAGGAGGAGAAAGAGGAGGAGGAGGAGGAGGAGGAGGAGGAGGAGGAGGAGGAGGAGGAAAAAAAAAGGAGAAGGAGGACGGGGAAGAGGAGGACGAGCAGGAAAGCGGCACGGGGAGGATGAAGAGGAGGAGGGAGGAGGCAGGAAGGGAGAAAGGCGTGGATGTCCCACGGCGGCTTGATTGGCAACACCGGTGAGTTGGGAGAGCTCTTGTAGCGAAGGGTGTCGGGCTGTAGCTGCTGGTATCGTTGGTGTTGTCGTTGTAGTTTGTGCTTATGGTACCGCTGCTGCTGGTGTTGATGCTGGTGCTACTGATAGTGCTGCTGGTGCTGGCGATGCCTGGGACCATCCTGGGGGTAAGAGGAGGAGGAAGAGGAGGA